TTTTTTTTTTGCAGTGCACATGTGTTTCGCACAGAGAGAACCTGATGGAAGATGCTTTAAAGATATAAAGACAGAAATAAAGACTCACCTCTCCTCCGTGGCCATCAAACACCCCGAATATGGACGGATGGCTCTTGTTGACGATGTCGGTGAGCACCTGGAACCTGTCCTCCATGTGGTCCCGCCGGCCTTGGATGGAGTACACGGCCACATTGTTGCTCCTGAACTCCCAGGTCTTGGAGAACTGCGCATCCAGGACGTCCAGCCCGCCGAAGCGCTCGTTCTGCATCATCTCCGCCACTTTTCCCTTCACCATCTTGACAGCATCCCGGCTGGACTTGACGATGGTCTTCACTTCATCCGTGTGGAAGAAGTAACTCCACAGAGCAAGGCTAATGCACAGCAGGAACAAGGTCTCCGGTCTGAGCAGAAAATAACGCATGATCCTACCCAAGAGAGACAGCAGGGTCATCGTATCCTCTATCATCTATTTGTTTACACGCAGCTCAGGGAAAAACCACGCCAGGTCGCTGTGTTGTTCTTTCACTCCATTGCTGTTGTTGTAGCACATTAAACAAAAAATGCAAAGAGATTAAAATTTTATACTTTTTTAGAGCATTTCGTGCATACAGAGGGAGCAAACAGGGAAAGACGGGATCCTCCAGCGGTTTCTGTCTAGCATGTAGCCGCGCGGGGCTGAGCCACCAACGGCTGTGGGCTTACCATCTACTGCGCTCTATCAACACAGAAAAAAAAAACGCTTTAAGAATTAAATTAGGCTGAAAGTTCAGGTTACTTAAATTAAGAAAGTCGCGACAAGAAGGTCTCCTCCAAACAGCTCAAGTAGAGTTCCCAGTCTTGAAAGTATCGCCCCTTTAAAGTCGCCAGTGCCCACACTGACTGTGAATGTATGTTACTGCTGCTATAAACCACGGTGATGCCTTCAGGTGCTGCTCGGAATGTTTCTTGGACTATTTAAATCCATTCCTTTTGGTACCCTCGTGTCCATTGAAAATAAAAAAATGTATTTTAAATGTTGCCACACAGAGGCGTAGTGAAAGAAACTCCTAATAGGGGTGGCCAGGCAATAACCAATGCGTATTGAAGGGTGGCCGAAAGGCACCAGAACCTCAGGGTCAATCTACACTTTTCCAACAGGAACAAGCACGACATTAAAGACAAACTATCCTTTCCTGCAGCCTTTGCTAACAAATAGACACATATATTAAAACATCTACGCTGTGTAAATAAAAGGTATATTGGACAAAATATGGAATTGAAATCTACTAATATCCACATTTTAGGAATGTTTAGGTTATTGTTAAAGTAGTTATCTATCTATGATATCACTGAAGACTTGCAGACTTGCAGAAGCACATAGTTTTATCTTCACCCCAAATAATTCAAAATTTAGTTCTGAAAAGAGCATGAATTTAGCATGAATTCTGGATCTATCATCTTAAATGTTTGTATATTGGTTCCCCTTCAGAGTGTTACTGCTGCCCCCGTGTTTCCCTTGGACACAATTAACTAAAACATTTTGTTTATACACACATTGGCTTTAAAATAAATAATTAATCTCGCTCCTTATTTTCCTGGCGGGGGGTGTGGGGGGGATTGTATTCCCCTTGGACACCATGGACAACAAAACCGAGAAAAAAACGGGAAAAAAATCTAAATGGAAGTGAACGTTTTAAAAATAACGCACTATGAGAGATTTGAAGAAAATAATAGCCTAATGAAGCTTCATATTTCTCTCAAAATACACAACCTTGCAATCGCTGCTCAAATATTTTCTCACAACCAACAAGCTGAACAATACAAATCCAAACGGTTAAACTATTTCCGACCACACCTGAAGGCATCCAAACGAGTGCCCGTGACAGGTGCATCCACGCTATTGAACTTTTGGGACTAGACTTTTTGTAATTATATGACAAAAAAGATTACTGAAGAGATACGCAGAACATCCCAAATGTTATTGGCAATGGTTTTACAAACTGTCCTCTTATCCCATTATGTTGAACTGCATAAAATAACAACGTTAACTCTTACTGATATTCATTTTTTTATATCTTTGTCAGTAATTAAGTAAAGTTATATACTTATTGAAATGGTCAAATGCAGTTTTCAGTTACAATTTATATCGCTTTCTATGTTTTAGTGCTGAATAATTTAATAAAATTAACTTTATAAAATGTAAGTATTTTAGTTTAACATAACTAAATTTATTTTACAAAAAATTAAAAACATATTTTTTTTTAATATTTTTTATTCAAGATTTATATTACCTTTCTCAAATACAGGAATTTTAATAATAAACGGCTGTAAATGAAATTTATTCAGGCATAACTAAGGCAGCTACGTCTTCTGTCGGGGTCCTTTCTGACGCCTCCCTATTCGGTCTTCGGTAGCGAAAACGTGGAAGGCTCTATCACAAGGTATTCTACGGATTTATTTTTGATATAGGTTTTGTTGTTTGTTTGTCAGCCAACAGTTTGCTATAATCAAATGGAAGAGGATGCTCCCCTGTCCGTTTCACATTATTCCTTTGTTATTTTCCTGTATAATTGCTTGGGAACGTTAGTACGTTAGCCTTAAATGCTAACCTTATGCTAGTTAAATCCAGACCACTAGCGAGTTTAACAGCTTTTCTAAGGTCGCTATCATGTTAAGTCTCGGAAAAACTTCATGTGTTCGATGGAGTGTTGTGCTATATAACAGTTATTAGTTACGGGTATGGACTAAGTTTGTGTGTTAAAGTGAAATTTGGATAGTTTTTTTTTTGTTTTTCTTTTTTATTTATATATATATATATAATTATTATAATTTTTTTTTTTGGTTGGCTAAATTTTCCCTACTCTGTTAGCAGGGATCAGGGGGTTCTGCTGTCATATCTCAACCTGAGAGATGGAGTACATGCAAGCTCCTGCTACCAGCAGCCAGGGGAACATGTAAGTAACCCCAGACTACTGATGCTTTCATGCCAGCTGTCAGTGAATCCCGATTCGTTAGGGGGAAAAAATGACAACCATCAAAGCTTCTACTTTTTCAAGACATGAGGTGTCACCAGTGATTCAACGCCCCATTAAAAGATGTAGGAATGGTACAAATGTTGCTTCTTAAACAGGTAGTTGATGTAGATGGAGACTTAAAATTTCTAATACTGACAAATTAAAGTAATATTAAAATAGGGAATCTAAGTTATTGTAATAAGATGGGTTAATGTAGCAATAAATAACGCTTAAATGTCATGTTTATATAACAAAAGAGGACTCAATATCACATATTTTATGTTGTATTGAGTCCAATAAAATTTCTTTATATGGTTTTCCTCTAATAAGGCAAACGTACAAAGCTCGTTTAATTTTAATACTGACAAATTAAGGTGATCTTATTAATTATACAGCTGAAAAACCACAAGCATGAAAACCCGGAAGGTCGAGGCAGAACTCAAAAACGTGGACAGCATATAAACAAGAATCTGTACAGGCATGGGCACACAAACAAAAACAGGACAAGGATACCTAAAACTGTAAAAATTGACAATCATTGTCAACAGCCAAAACCACAAGAGAACACCGGCCCGGGGCACAGGCACACACACAGCAGAGCCAGCTCCTGTGTGACTTTCAGTCTCGAGAGAGGGCGTCCAGTCTCTCAAATAAGATATAGAGGGGCCCAAGTTCGACAAAATTTTTGAACCAAAATAACAATAAATTTGATCTTCTAAATTAAAGTAACCTTAAAATAGGAAATCTAAGTTATTGTAATAAGCCATACAGTTTTTGTAATGTAGCCATAAAAAAACGCTTAAATGTTATCTTTATATACCAAAAAGAGGGCTCAATATGATGTATTTTATGTTGTATTGAGTCCAATAAAATTTCTAGCTGTATGGTTTTCCTCTAATAAGGCAAACATACAAAACACGCTTTGTATTTAAAATAAAAAAAAAAAAAAACCTTTTGTACATTTTTTTTATTAAAATACTTAGTGCTTCGTTTATTATTGGACAGTTAAAAAAAATCACAATGTAATTTTTCTGTTTTGAGTTTAGATGGAAATGAATAGTTAGCCCTCACAAAGCCAACATAACTTTTGCTCTCTCCATATATATATATATAACATTATAATAAAAAATGCTACAAAAGTGTTGATTTAACCAAAAGGAGAAACGTATTAACAAATCAAAGAAGAAAAACAATTCTGGATATTTCTGTTCATCTTAAACCCCACCCATAAAGTATCTGCTGGCTGTTGTTACCTTCATGGTCCGGTGTGTTTTCCAGTTCTTAAGTGTCCTAAATCAGCACAGCTCTTGTTCTTTTCTAGCTTTAACAATATTTTTCTGCTCCACAGCCTGTGCTGTACCTGTGGTGTCCCCATTCCTCCTAACCCTGCCAACATGTGTGTAGCCTGCCTGCGCACTCAGGTCGACATCTCAGAGGGGATCCCTAAGCAAGTCACGGTGCACTTCTGCAAACAGTGTGAACGGTTCGTTTCACATATGTATTCAGTGATTTATAGGTGGCATCTGCATAACGATAAAAAAAATAAAATAAAATAGTCATGCTGTCTGTTTCAGTGTAAAACCTTTTTCATGTTTTCTTTGATGCAGCTACCTGCAGCCTCCAGCCACCTGGGTGCAGTGTGCTCTGGAATCCAGGGAGCTTCTGGCCCTTTGTCTGAAAAAACTTAAGAGCTCAATGACCAAAGTAAGGAGAACTATTTAATTAGGGTTTTTCCCAAACTTTTTCATATCTGATACGATGCTGTTATTGCAGCTTTGAGAATTGGCTAATACGATAGTACTAATCATACCAGCATTTATTACTTATATTATACTGTACAATGCTAGAAAAGGCTTGATCAAGTAATATTACTGAAACAGAGAACAAAACTCAACAACAAAAGGTGTGAAAACAACTGACCCATGTAAAGTCATCTGATGAGTAATAGAAACTTTAACAGAAGAAGAGTGTTTCTATCAGCTTGGAAATATCAGACTTTAGATGCCGGCCGATAAAATCCGATTTTTTATATTTTTTTGGCTAATATTGGACCAATATCCGATATTAATATCAGATCAGAGGATCCCTAGTTCTCATTGCATTAAAATACAACACTGTCAGTCTGAAGCACGTCATTAATTTATAGAGGTGTATTCCATTATGTATTGCTTTAGGAGGTGAGCTTCTTCTTCATATCCTTAGCACCATGTAAAGTTTCTTTTGAACATAGTTTGCATTCTTTTTCACCTTATGACCAAAAACCTAAGTGTATTTTATATAAACGCTGCATGACGGATCATCACAAAGTGAAACTGATCATTCTAGTCCCCCTCATGTTCTTTTCTTTTCTATAATAAACTGGTTACTGTATGATGCTGTCAACTAAGCATTTTAATTTGGTCATTTTAAATGAAAAGGCTTATAGTCAAGTTGGCTTTAAGATTTTCTTCTTTAGTTTATGACCACAAAATATTTTTTTTAATCACTAAGTTTATTTTTTATTTGTTGTGTAAGGGCATCTTTTTTACTTTTTGGGTCTAGAGATTGAAACCCTCCTCTGCTTTTCTTAAAAATGACTCATGTGACCGTCTCTAGTTTTTCTACTTCACTCTGATCATCATATATAGAATATAGGCAATTAATCATTAGCAAATGGAGAACTTTTCTGCTTGCAAGTTAAATACAATTTGGAAGTGGTGTATTTTTTTGTCGCAGACACTCAGTTTATCTTTTTTTATCTTTGTTTATTTTCAGGTGCGCCTTATCGATGCTGGCTTCCTGTGGACAGAGCCCCACTCCAAGAGGATTAAGATGAAACTGACAATCCAGAAAGAGGTTAGAGGAGAGTGTCATAAGTGTGACACTGTGAGATTTAGAGGGGTTTAATCTGATTGATGCCTTGAGATTCTCATAGTTCATCAGTTTCTTGTAAAAGGTAAAAAGCAGCAGATTGTAATTGGATATTTTAATTTGTAAGAAATCCTTTTATTAAAGATTATACATTAATCAATGATTCATACAAGTTGATCCATTGATGCAGCAGAGAAACAGATCTGTTTACATTTGTGTGGGAAAAGCAGGTTTTACATGTGTGCGAGCATAGATCTCATTAGACCCATTTCAATTATAGTTTTTCTCTAGCTACTGTTAGGCTGATGGTACAGAACATTAGAGGGCAAATACTTCACACCTTATTAAACATTAATCTGTTGCAAAGCTGTTTATGAAATATTGTTTTGTGTTTACATTACACTGACTCAGAAAATGTCTCCGAATTCCTCCACCAAATTTCAACTTCTACGTACAACAATAAAACTCTGATCCATTTAAAGTTATACATAACATAATGCTCAGTTTAATTTGCCTTGTTAGCAGGTGAGGTGTTGGATTTTATGGGGTGAGTTATGGCTGTTCTCTCTGCTCTAGGTGATGAATGGGGCTATCCTGCAGCAGGTGTTTGTGGTGGAGTTTGTCATCCAGTTCCAGATGTGCGATGACTGCCATCGTGTGGAAGCCAAGGACTTCTGGAAGGCAGTGGTTCAAGTCAGGCAGAAGGTTTGTGTTTTAGGATTTATAGTCATGATGCGTGTGTTTTTTTTTAATGGTTAGATTGGAAACAGTCTGTTTTTATAAGATCATTTTTTTGTGAAAGCAAACATTCATCCTCCTGTCTGACACAAATATCTAAATGTGTTGAATTTAAGTTATAAACTCAATATTTTTGATTAAGTCAACAGTGGATGGAGCTGTAAGACTTCTGGATCAAAATTATGATCTTAAACAGACTTCCTGCTCCCATCAGAGCTGATCTCTACCAGTTTTGAACATAAAGACGGGGAGTTTAGATTAAACATATCTTGAAATGTCTGGAATTTGATTTGCTCATCCCTTGCATGGCCTGATTGAAGATGGCGGTTTTCATGCCTTTGGACAAAAATGAGAATAAAAAAGTAGCATTAAGCACTGAAGCTTGAAGTTCCTGCTTTTAAGCTCCATCAGCAGTTCAAGACGGAACATTTTTCCTACTGATTCTTATGAAGCCAAAAGCTGCACCCCTGATGACAGGGACCAGTAGAACACCGCTGCTTTCTTTGTATCAAGGTGCTGGTAGCTGTTGCACTGACGTCCCATTTTGAAGGTCCTAGAAGGTACTTCTGTTTGTTCATACGAGGAGCTGTCAGGACCCTCATCAAAGCTGGATTTGAAGATGCCATCTCACACCTGCTTCAACATGATTGTTAAACAGAGTGTCTTCAGTCAGAGGCTTCTCCAGATTTGGTGAAAGACAGACCTCTACAGAAGATCATTCCAGCCTACAGCTATCAACACCCACAACACTGGTTAAAAAACTGCCCATGACTTACTGCAATATTTAATTTCCCTTTGGTATCAATAAAGTAGGAAATTTATATTTTAATACTTTTGTTATTTACTTATTGAAATGCCTTGAGTTTAAAAAATTAGTTTTTTGAGAAGGTTTGGACTAGGGCTGCACCGAAATGAAACTCCTTGAAATCAAGACCAAAAATTGAAACACCGAGATACATTTGGCCAAATATTAGAACCATATAATGCTGTAAATATTATCTGAATGTATGATTTATTTATTTTTAATATTTTTGTTTCTTTTTCTTTCAGACTGTTCATAAAAAGACGTTCTACTATTTAGAGCAGCTGATCCTGAAGCATAAACTTCATCAGAATACCTTAAACATCAAAGAAATTCATGGTAGGTTCTTGCTTTTGCTGTTAATGTTTTAGTGTTTATCTTTTTTTTTTGGCGGGGGAATCTGGCATTCCTGTTGCTTACACTGTAGGATAATGGTACGTCATTTTAAATGCCTCTTCCTGTACAAGATTGTGAGCTATGCATGTATCAGAAGCGCCAAACGCTTCACAAACAAGCATCACAGTGGCACGGGTTGTGCATCTAATCAGTGCACTGTAATCAGAGCAAGCGCTTCAAATCAGTTTCTCACTTCTTCCCCCCTTTTTAGATTTTCTAAGAGCTACTTCACACATGCACAGGCTGTGAAGTAGTTCAGCAGCAGCTTTTTGCAATCCTGCTCTGGATGCCAAAGTGGAATTTGGCTCAATGGTGGAATTTAAATCAGCTGTATCAGTGCAGGACTTGAAAGCTGTAAGGATGTTCAAACATCTGGCTGCCATATTCTTCTCCCTCTTCATCAGTGTGTGTGTGTGTGTGTTTGCATGTGTATATGCCCTGCAGCAGGGATGACCTTTGATGCACATGTGATTAATTTTTTGGTTGAGTGTGTTTGATGGTGTTTGTTTTCTTTGGTAGAGGGTATTGATTTCTACTACGGCTCCAAGCAGCACGCACAGAAGATGGTGGACTTCTTGCAGTGTACTGTGCCCTGCAGGTGAGCGTTGCTTCAGTTTGTGCTCCAAATAAAAAGTACCTTCTAATTGAATACAGCACTTCCATAAAAGATGCTTTGAATGTATTTTATTAGTTGAAGTTAAGCTATAAAAGATGTCAACAAAATTTGAAATTGGTTGATATGTATTATGCAACATTATAACTTGTTTATGTATTGATTTAAAGTGTTTTTTTCCCCTTTACATTGAATTAGTGATAAGTCTATCACCTTATCAAGTATTTAACTTGCAAAATGAAGTGAGTTTACTCTCTGAATCGCTTTTATTTTTTTTCTTTAGGTCCAAAACATCCCAGCGTCTCATCTCTCATGATATTCACTCAAACACCTACAACTACAAAAGCACCTTCTCTATAGAAATTGTTCCTGTCTGCAAGGTAGGCAATAGTTTATATAATACTTTTATAAATACTTGCATTTTTGTCTTTTAAACTTTACCGCATCACCAATCAAATTTGCGTCTTATTTATATTTTGTGTGTGGGTGTCAATTTAAAGGGGGGTATTTTTATTGTTGGTCTTTTCTTTGTGGACCTAAATTATTTATCACAGGAGCAGAGGAGAGCTCAGACCCTGGGTGAGAGAGCAATAGTATAGCGTTTAACTTGTTTCTGACGAACACTGAATTATTCGACTTATTTTTACTTATTTTAGCTTTGGTTAATGTTTTGAGTCCAAATCAAATGTTTTATTCACGTTTTACTTGTTTGCACTTGTATTTTTGAAAAGATCATGTGTTACTCAGACTTCAGGCAGTGATGTAAGGCAGGTTGTGGGATGGAATACTGACATTGTTCATCTGAAACGGGAAGATGAACAGACATAGGCATCGGTATTATTAGCAGCTGTAAACGTTAGCCTCTGTCTGCAGAATGCAATCTTATTTTAAGAGATTTCAGACGGAGGCTGAAGAGTCAAAAGGGTCAAATGTGAAGCTTTGCTTCATAATGTTTAGCTTTCTTTGTATTTACTGAAGTCTGCTTTAGCTTGGTTTGGCTTTCACCAGCACTAAAACAAGATTTAGATTTAAAGTGCATACTTTAGGGCTCCCTTTGAAAGCTGGAATAGGTTATCTACGTGATAAACAAGGAAAGGGTTATGCTAAAGCTAAAATGTTAAGCTCTCTCAAAACGCTGTCATCCCTCTATAGAAAATAAAGCTGCCCTTTTAATTTCCTTTTCAAGCCTTTTTGATTCAACTGATGGCAAACCTTCCTAACTACTTCCATATTGAACATTTGACTTGTGATGCAACTTATTTGTGTGGTGCTTTCTCCTAATTAGACCAAAAGATGAGAAAGCTAATGAAAATCAATTTCTATGGGAATCTGCTAAGTGTTAGAAATGATGTTAAAAGTTGTTCACAAATGTTGCTAGAAACCCAAACCTGATCAGGTTTGGTTCATTTAAACAGTTGCTTTTCCTCCCTGATGTAGAAAAGGAAACAAAAATAGATTATAACTAAAGCAGGAACAAAGAGCTTTTGGTTGATAGATTTAGTTGTTTTTTTAATGAAGCACCACCTTAGGGACTCATTGTGAGCTCAGCCTGTCTGCTCTTGTGTCGTTGCCAGGACAATGTGGTTTGTCTCCCACCGCGGCTGGCCCAGAGCCTGGGGAACATGGGTCAGATCTGTGTCTGCATCCGTGTCACCAGCACCATCCATCTCATCGATCCCCGCACCCTGCAGAGTGGGTATTGCCATGGTTGATTTCTGTCCAAACTCTAAGCAGATTGAGCTCGACCTTCTAAAATGGTGTCCATGTATATAGTAAAAATGTCCACTAGAAACCTGATAATCTGATACATCATATATGATGTAAACAAAAACCCCAACCTATCTGACATTGAACAAGCGTAAATACGTTCTGCTTTTGATCAGTCAGGATAAACAGAGATATTCTTTTGTACTAAATTGTGGAAAAAAGGTATTTATTTTTCATAGGTTTTTATATACCATTGCTTTAAATAATTTAGATGTAGCTTTGGTTACCTTAGTTGTGGATGTAGTAATCAAAGTTAAACTGCTGATTCAGCTGTAAGTAAAAAAAGAAAATGGGTGTTTAGAAATTTTCACTAAAATTTTTTGATGCATCTGCATCCAGGTTTCTAGAACATGTACATGAATGTCAATATGGACAACAAATGGAGCTTAAATTCCAGTTTTATATCAAGCAGAAAAGGAAGATTGTCTGTATATTTACAATATAGTGTCTAAAATGTATAAAAAAGTTTTACATAATAGAATAAACATCTTTTTGTCACAATGTTTACTAATTATGAAGGTGGACATTTTGGCTTTAGATGCATTTAATAATCTGCCAAATAGATTTTTAATAACTGCCTGATTTGTTATTGCTTGGATTATAAAAATTGGATAAATGAATCATCTGATTTTGTTAGATTCTCATCAGGGGAGCATGTGGTATTTTCTCGTTATGAACATTTTTCTCATTTTTTTCTTTAGACCAGAAAAACTTCAGAGCTAAAAGAAACCTTAAATGTTATGTGATTGTTCCAGCAAGTACAAGACTTTCTTTTCTTGTTTTTTCTAACAATCTACATCTCATGATACCAAGATACATTTTCATCTCAATATTATGTTTTTGTTTTATATCACACATTTGTCCATTGGTTTTGTGCAGTTCAGTTTCAGCTTTGCATACAAGCTTTTTTTAAGAACTGTTGCCATTGGTTACAGTATCTATTTGTGACTTGAGCATTTATGCTGACCTCTTGTTCATCTTAGTCATCCTAATGGATCCTCTTAGTCCTGTAGCAGACCACTGCCAGCACAGTGAACACTCACATTTTGAAACCTTTTATTTTCATGGTTTTCTTTGAATTCCTGACAAATAAAAGCGCCGTGCGGATGTGCCTCAATGCAGCTATTTATGTGAGCGCACTGCTGACATTCTGCCACAGCACACATGTCTCTAATTGCACTTCAAAGAGCGACTCGTTTCTCTGGTGGAAAGTTTCAGAGCTGAGTGAATTGCAGAAACAGCCTTGGGCCTGTTGAGCAGCTTCAGTGTCGGCCAGTAATTAACTTCTAACGTTTTTCTGCTTGTTCGGATTTCAATCTTTTTAAAGGCATAAAAACACAAAAGCATTTTACATATTAACCAGACGCCTCAGGAGTTACAGAAAAGGAAATGTATTAACTGAGTGTGTCTGGGATTTTTGTAATGACGCCTTCAGTCTTGTTAATAATCCATAATGACCTTCTGTCACACCAGTTGCAGAAGTGGATGGGAACACATACTGGCGCAACCCGTTCAACAGCCTCTGTAGCCCCCGGCAGCTGGAGGAGTTCATTGTTATGGACATCGACATCATCAGAGACCAGAAGCTGGGTGCTGGAGCTGGCGTGAGGTCCAACAAGGTGAGGGGGTTTTACACATGCCTGTGTGTGTGTTGGTGCAGAACAAATTGCATTGCAGGGGAACATTGCTTTTCTCTTGGAAGCAAAATCAATAGCAGACCATTATATTATCACTGACGCTGTAAGCAGGACTGGAGCCAAAATGACAGAACCCTTCAGGAGGGTTGTTTTAGGTTTTAGGTTTAATTGGACTTAGGTTCTCATCTGTCCTCTGAATACCACACTGTCATTGATGTTAATGAAAGAGCTGACGGTAATGTTGTTTCACCAGCTTCATGCTGTGATTATTTTTCCTCGTTTGCGTTGGGGTCCATCTACTGATGCTGGACTTGATCCTTCAGTGAATCTGTAAAGAACTAGATTGTTACTCAGTGGTCTGATTAAATAAAAGCCACATTATCATGTCTGTTTTTTTTTATGTTAGAGCCTCTGTTTTGTTGGATTGCAGTTTAGGAAGAAAGTTTTTTTTTTTGACAAAAGCAGTACAGTTAATTGCATTATCCTTGCAGATCACTCCCAGTTTTCTAACCATTCTATATGCTGTGGTTAAAAGTTATAATCATATTTCAATAGCAGTCTTAAAACATCAGAATAATAATGTAAAACCTGCTCATTATTTTGCCACATTCTGATTTCAATTTGCAAATGTGTGAAGATAAATCTGGTTTAAAATACACTCCACACTCTTCCTCATTAAAACTAGTCTGTTTTTTTTTTTCCTGATGCATTTTTACAATGAAGGAAAAGTGGCAGAAAGCCTTTAAAATGTAACCTTATCAGCTGAGGGTGTTGCCCCATCACACAGATTTTAATATGCTGCAAGCAACTTAAGCATGTTTCAATCTGTATAAAAAACTCACTAAACATTTAGTTCACAGACACTTAGCGGGAAACCTTAAGAAGCATGTTACAAGCTGAATGACCTTAACATTTTGATTTAATATGGTGTAGATGAGCAAAGGCCTGCTGCTTCAGCAAACTCCTCCTTGCAAATATCCTCATTAGAAGCAGGTTTACGGAAGATGTTTTAGCTCCAAATCTCATCATATTTAGACAGCTGTCAGAAAACCTGCTGATAGAGCAGGAAAGACTGCTCTGCATAAACTCCTATAGTGACAAAATAAAAATGGATGCTCAAAAAAAAAATTATATACTTGTAAAGATAAGTTTTAACTTTAGAAGCAGATGAAATGGTTTTATTGCTAAAATTTTATTTCAAGTGTTTCAAATGTTGACATTTAACATCCTAAAAATATTTCACATAACCCGCATGACAACACATGACAACACATGCAACATTTAGGTTTAAGAATTTCCATTTAATACACAGGTGTAAAAATGAAATGATCAACATTTTTCATATCATAATTAAAACAATATTTATCATAGCTTCTCTTTGGTGGGACAGCCCTGATTTGACACCTTTGCTTCACCAATAATGGCCGACATTTTTGACCTCTGTTTATTTGTGGAATAAAAAGTGCTGCAAACAAAACAAACTAATTTATAATCCCACTTCACAATAATAAGTGGTAAGAATATTTATACACAAGAAATGAAAGCAGCAACTGAAACTTCTTAAGACCATAAATGAATGTATGAAACATGAATGATTAGAAATCTAACCTTATTGCCTCCAGTGATTTCTTATCGAAACTTCGACACCTTCACACATCATACAGTAAGCCTTTTACCTCACTGCTCCAGGTCAGATACCTGGATTCCCCATCCCAACTAATTATTAGTAAATTAGTCATGATTTAAAAAAAAAAAATTATTTGATTGGAATAACTAAAATCATAAAACAACCTGCTTTCAGGTGCTGAAATGGGTTCATCTGGGATGGAAAGAAAACAGTGGTGGAGAGGGCAAACAAAAACACATTTAAGATGTAATATAGTGTACGACTTGGATGCAATTAGGGTTAGACTTAGTAGTTTGTTTTTTTGTTGTTTTTTTTTTTGTTTTTTATGTGCTCCATAAACCCTTGCCTAAATTCTACGAAAGTCAAAGTAAATTGCATTAGTGATCCTGAGATGTGGATCTGTTCAAGCACTGGAATGGATTTAAATAGAACAACCTCTCCATGTGTTCTGTTACAGCACACCCTGGCTGAGGTTTGGGTCCAGAAGACCTCAGAGATGGATACGAGTCAGCAGTATCACTGCCGTACTTTCCTGGGCCATCTGCTCAACATCGGAGACCTGGTGATGGGGTGAGTGTGAGAGGAAGG